CAGGGAGAGCGGATATAGTGAATGCGGGGTTCGGGGAGAGCGGATATAGTGAATGCGGGGCCTGGGAGACCAGATATAGTGAAAGCAGGGTCTGGGGAGACCAGATATAGTGAATGCAGGGTCCGGGGAGACCAGATATAGTGAATGCAGGGTCCGGGGAGAGCGGATATAGTGAATGCGGGGTCCGGGAAGACCAGATATAGTGAATGTGGGGTCTAGGGAGAGCGGATATAGTGAATGTGGGGCCCGGGAGACCAGATATAGTGAATGCAGGGTCTGGGGAGAGCGGATATAGTGAATGCGGGGTCCGGGGAGAGCGGATATAGTGAATGCGGGGTCCGGGGAGAGCGGATATAATGAATGCGGGGTCCGGGGAGAGCGGATATAGTGAATGTGGGGTCCGGGAGAGCGGATATGGTGAATGCAGGGTCCGGTGAGAGCGGATATAGTGAATGCAGGGTCCGGTGAGAGCGGATATAGTGAATGCGGGGTCCGGGGAGAGCAGATATAGTGAATGCATGGTCCGGGAGAGAGCGGATATACTGAATGCGGGGTCCGGGGAGACCAGATATAGTGAATGCGGGGTCCGGGGAGAGCGGATATAGTGAATGCGGGGTCCGGGGAGACCGGATATAGTGAATGCGGGGTCCGGGGAGAGCGGATATAGTGAATGCGGGGTCCGGGGAGAGCGGTTATAGTGAATGCAGGGTCCGGTGAGAGCGGATATAGTGAATGCGGGGTCCGGGGAGACCAGATATAGTGAATGCGGGGTCCGGTGAGAGCAGATATAGTGAATGCAGGGTCCGGGGAGAGCGGATATACTGAATGCGGGGTCCGGGGAGAGCGGATATACTGAATGCGGGGTCCGGGGAGACCAGATATAGTGAATGCGGGGTCCGGGGAGAGCGGATATAGTGAATGCGGGGTCCGGGGAGAGCGGATATAGTGAATGCGGGGTCCGGGGAGACCAGATATAGTGAATGCGGGGTCCGGGGAGACCAGATATAGTGAATGCGGGGTCCGGGGAGAGCGGATATAGTGAATGCCGGGTCCGGGGAGAGCGGATATAGTGAATGCGGGGTCCGGGGAGACCAGATATAGTGAATGCGGGGTCCGGGGAGAGCGGATATAGTGAATGCGGGGTCCGGGGAGACCGGATATAGTGAATGCGGGGTCCTGGGTTTAGTAACACTTTAATGCCCTCTTTTTTAGCGTGAAAAAAATCCTTGAATAAAATGTGTTGTCAGATAGCCGTTCTGTACAGTATTGACGTGTTACTGTAAGCCTGTTGTGACCTTTTGCAGACCGTTACTCACAGAAAAACGCTGGCAGCAGACGTCTCCTAGACAGTGGGGCAATATAAGGATCTGATGTGGTTAAGGGAGGTTTATAGATGTCTGACATTACAAGGAAATACAGTATCAACAGACAGAAGCAGGGCAGGCGTGCTGCATAAATCACACCACCGAACACCCGTTCAATAACGTCATACCGTAAGCAACCCTGAGCAGATACAATAGTGTACAGGGTATTGTTTTAAAGAAAATGTGACTGTCATTATACATACCTCTTAAAGCAGCACTTTACTCTCGCAATCAACAATAACTATCTTTGATCCTTATTCTGCTAACATTAGTAAATAGATAGGAAGGTATAAAAAGTGTACTTGTTTTAAACTCATTTTTTTCCCCATTTCTTTAGTTGCCTCCTGGTTCCTGGCCAAGGCCAAAATGATGTCATGCATCCCAGGAGTCTTTTTTTCTATCCTCTGGAGGGGGGAGGGGGGGGCTTTCAAAGCTCAATACACCATCCTGCCTGCATGATTGGGCTAAGGGTAGATGGATTCCAGGAAGTAATGCGGGTGGTGTTTTTCAAAAGCGATCTCTCAATCACTTAAAAATAAAATAAATAGCATATTTAGTGTTGCTCAGATACAGTTAAAAGGGTTCTAAAGGCTGAAGGTTTTTTTTCCTTCACTCTCTCAGTTAACATTGACTGTTTTTTAGTGGTGCACCGATTTTAAAAAATTCTGAACAGAAACTGAAAATTCAGGATGTACTTGGCCAAAAAAACCGAAACCAAAAGCGAACAGTTTTTTAGAAAAAAAATATTTTTTATATATTATTGAATTATATTCGGCTTTTTAATTATTTTTGTGAATTTAAATGAATATGAATTTAAAAAATACAATCCAGTAACGTAAAATCACTTTCACAAAAATTGGACAGAAAATAAAATGAAATATATATTCTTCCTGTGGCTGCGTGGGTTTCCTCTGGGTACTCTGGTTTCCTCCCACACTCCAAAGACATGCTGGTAGGGTAAATGGCCCCTGTGTATTCGGCCCTAGAATGTGTATGTATGAATGTGAGTTAGGGACCTTAGATTGTACGCCCCTTGAGGGTTAGGGACCTTAGATTGTACGCCCCTTGAGGGTTAGGAACCTTAGATTGTACGCCCCTTGAGGGTTAGGGACCTTAGATTGTACGCCCCTTGAGGGTTAGGGACCTTAGATTGTACGCCCCTTGAGGGTTAGGGACCTTAGATTGTACGCCCCTTGAGGATTAGGGACCTTAGATTGTACGCCCCTTGAGGGTTAGGGACCTTAGATTGTACACCCCTTGAGGGTTAGGGACCTTAGATTGTACACTTCTTGATGGTTAGGGACCTTAGATTGTACACCCCTTGAGGGTTAGGGACCTTAGATTGTACACTTCTTGATGGTTAGGGACCTTAGATTGTACGCCCCTTGAGGGTTATGGACCTTAGATTGTACGCCCCTTGACGGTTATGGAACTTAGATTGTACGCCCCTTGTGGGTTATGGACCTTAAAATTGTACGCCCCTTGAGGGTTATGGACCTTAGATTGTACGCCCCTTGAGGGTTAGGGACCTTTGATTCTTTGTACACCCCTTGAGGGTGAGGGACCTTAGATTGTACACTCCTTGAGGGTTAGGGACCTTAGATTCTTTGTACATTCCTTGAGGGTTAGGAACCTTAGATTGTACGCCCCTTGAGGGTTCGGGTGAGGACCTTAGATTGTACGCCCCTTGAGGGTTCGGGACCTTAGATTGTACGCCCCTTGAGGGTTAGCGACCGATGTAAATGTACAATATGTATGTGTGAAGTGCTGCGTATATTGACGACGCTACATAAGTACCTGTAATACATAAATCAAATATTAAATAAAAAAACTTGAATAAAGAAGCTTTTGCATTGAAGTCAATAGGGGGCGTTTTTGCATTGAAGTCAATGGGCCCCGATTTTGCATTGAAGTCAAGCAGAGAGCTGCTGGTTACCTGGAGAGAGAGCCAATCTCCCAGCATAATCTGTTGGACTGAGCTTTCAGTTTGACAGCTCATTCCTTCACAGGCAGGACATGGCCGGGTGATGCAGAGGCAGGAGGGGCTCCTACCCCAGCTCTCCCTTTGCCCTGGCCTAGCTCTGATAAAGACTATAGCTTAGCTAAAGGGGGCGCAGTGGGAAAGAATTGTGTTTTTTTTTATTGCCTGGAGAACAGTTTTATGCATTATCGTCGTTATCAATCCTTTTGCCACTTATTTTAATTACATAGCAGCATTCCTCGTGTGTCTCCAGTCCATACCTACCTCGCAGTTTGTGTGTAGTGTTAAATTCTGAAAATGGCATCTCTGAGTAGTTAAAGGCCACATACAGAGCAGCTATATATTTCCAGTGCTTTATAGGGTACGGTTACATTAGTTTAGTGTTTTACAGATTGCGCGGGCCCATTCACATCAGTCATTGTCCCCTAAAGGCATTCACAGTGCAATGTCCTTACAATCATACTCGCTAGGGTCATCGTGGATGGAAGCCAAATAGTATATTAGTTTTGAATAGTGTATGAAGGCTTTTTTGGTCGTTGGAGGAAATTGAAGCCTAGACACGGGGACAACAGGAGGGATTTGTATCCAGGACCCAGAGCCGCTAGACTGCTAACCATTTAGCCATTGCTCTGTCCATATTGATTACTAGCTGATCTCTCTTACCCTTACAGGCAATAAAGTCTTATAAGCCTTGATGTACTTGCAGTGCAGCCGGGGCTATAGAGGCTGGTAACATCACACAGGCAACATGACCTTGATCTCTGGAAAGTATTAAAAGATCAGCGTAGTGGATTGTTGAGCTGCAGTCAGCAACCTATATGCAGCTAGTGAGATATGTATTTTTCCTTCAGTGGCAACGATTTTACATATTTCACTTGCTTTACTTAGCCGAAGGAGCAAAGGATTGTGCTGTTAGAATGTAATTTGCAAGGTCTGCTTTAATTTTCATTGTTGACTGTTTGCGCAGTAATAAGGTTGAATTAAACCATCACTTGCTCGAGCACATCAAAATAATATTGTAGCCGGATAACTTTCATCCTCTCTTCTATTTTCTGCTCCTTTACATAGCAGGCGAGGGCTTCCATCAAGGCACAACATGTCTTTAGGGAGAAAACAAAGGCAGGATATACAGGAATCCTTGGTGAAACATAACAAGAAGAGGAATTTTCTCTGGGTGGCTGTGATTTCATTTCTGATTACAGATATTAAGTCCTATTAAGCCTTTTACAACTCATGTGGGATTTCGTCCATAATTCTTTGTCAATCCCCCCACCATAGAGTTGTCAGGGTAAGTGATGGCTCCCTACTCGCACCAACCGGGAATCCGGCATAAAACAGGAATTATTGATGAGCCGGAATAAAATTAAGGGTTACCATCTTGAGAAAAATAGACTTTTAGCTTGATTCTGTCATTGAATTTTCTCAGTCACCTAGGATAAAACAGGTTCCCACTGTCCCAGCATCCACATAAATAATGAAGGAAATCTCAGTTCCACCAGTCAGGTTGGTTCCACAAAGAAATCCTGTAATAAGGCTTATATAAATACCGTATTTTTTGCTCCATAAGACGCACCTAACCATAAGACGCACCTAGGTTTTAGAGGAGGAAAACAAGAAAAAAAATATTCTGAACCAATGGACTGCAGACATAGTACAGGAGAGGGCCAGAGACTGCAGACATAGTGCAGGAGATGGCCAGAGACTGCAGACATAGTACAGGAGATTACCAGAGACTGCAGACATAGTACAGGAGATGACCAGAGACTGCGGTCATAGTACAGGAGATGACCAGAGACTGCGGACATACTACAGGAGATGACCAGAGACTGCGGTCATAGTACAGGAGATGTCCAGAAACTGCAGGCATAGTACAGGAGATGACCAGAGACTGCGGACACAGTACAGGAGATGACCAGAGACTGCGGACACAGTACAGGAGATTACCAGAGACTGCGGACATACTACAGGAGATGACCAGAGACTGCGGACATAGTACACTAGATGACCAGAGACTGCGGACATACTACAGGAGATGACCAGAGACTGTGGACATAGTACAGGAGATGACGAGAGACTGCGGGCATGGTACAAGAGATGACGAGAGACTGCGGACATACTACAGGAGATGACCAGAGACTGTGGACATAGTACAGGAGATTACCAGAGACTGCGGACACAGTACAGGAGATGAGCAGAGACTGCGGACATAGTACAGGAGATGACCAGAGACTGCGGACACAGTACAGGAGATCACCAGAGACTGCGGACATAGTACAGGAGATCACCAGAGACTGCAGACTTTTGGGGAGCAGGGGGAGGGGGCGGGTACCCGAATTTGACAGGTACCCGCTCCCACTTCCGCTGCGATTGCCTCTCTCCCCGAAGTCTTCTGGGACACGTGACAGGTCTCAGAAGACTACGGTGCCATTCACAAAGCGCAGCACTTCTCGCGCATGCGCAGTGGGCTCCCGGCTGTGAAGCCGCAAGCTGTCACAGCCGGGTGCCCACACTAAAGATGATGAGGTGATGAGGACACCACTGGAGAGGTAGGACCGAGGAGCGGGTTCTGCTGCACAGAAGAGCCGAGCGACCTTTCCCTTTTCCTTTCCCTTTTTCTTTCCCTTTCCCTTTTCCTTTCCCTTTTCCTTTCTCTTTTCCTTTCCCTTTTCCTTTCTCTTTTCCTTTCCCTTTCTCTTTCCCTTTCCCTTTTCCTTTCTCTTTCCCTTTTCCTTTCCCTTTCTCTTTCCCTTTCCCTTTCCCTTTTCCTTTCCCTTTTCCTTTCTCTTTCCCTTTCCCTTTTCCTTTCCCTTTCTCTTTTCTGTTTCCTTTCCCTTTCTCTTTCCCTTTCTCTTTTCCTTTCCCTTTCTCTTTCCCTTTCCCTTTTCCTTTTCTTTTCCCTTTTTCCTTTTCCTTCCTTCCTTTCCTTGTCCCTTCCTTTTCCTTTCTTTCCTTTCCCTTTTCTTTTCCCTTTTTCCTTTTCCTTCCTTCCTTTCCTTTTCCCTTTTTCCTTCCTTTTATTCCTTTCCCTTTTTCCTTTTCCTTCCTTCCTTTCCTTTTCCCTTTTTCCTTTTCCTTTCTTTCCTTTTCCTTTTTCTTTCCTTCCCTTTTCTTTCCCTTTTCCTTCTTCCATCCTCTCTTCCAAACTCAGCCTCATTGGAGACAGTCTTTTCGCTGATTGGGTTAGGGTATAGCTGCCCTATATTGTAAGTGGTTAGGAAGGGTGAATTAATGTTGGATATTAAAATTTGGGTGTGTTACCGACATCATGGAATTGGGAAACAATAAAGTCTATGCCTCTGACTGTAAAATGTAAAATCCAAGGTCTCATGAAAATTAATAAAACGTGAGCAATAAATAGAGAGCGCTGATTGCCAAACGGACAAGAAAGGACCAGAATTTACGGGCGTTTCAACTGTTAATGCCTGCAGTGAGACACAAATCATTTGGCCCCCCTACTCTAGAGCTGCCTTCCATAGATGACAATTATTTACTTTGCCACTGTTGATTCAATTCCTCCTCCTCCTTTCTAAACCCAGATTTATGGCGAGGAATAAAATGCGCATTCATAGTCCTGGACAATATACGTGGTTTTACCATCCATCCCGACTTGTATATACATCTGTATTCTCGCCACGTAGCGTAAGCTGCACTGTATTGGTAACAAAGACAGGTAGATGTCGGCTTTGTAAGTCATTTTCTTAATTGGTTAATTTACCTTGAAGGTTAATGTATTCCAACTTAACTCCGAGATTAATACCCACTTAAGTGTATTTGAAAAAGATATTGCTCTTGATTTTCTTTAATAATAAAATTGTAGGATGGGTTCTATTCCTAAAGGGGACCCCAAAGTGTGATTAGGAGTTCAATTTAAAATAAAGCAACTTCCTAGATCAGTGTTCTGAAAACTATGGGCTGGGAACCAGATGGGTCATGGACATTGTTGTGATTGGTCACCACATGACTGTGACATTAATGCAGCCTAGTTTGCCCGAACGCAAAATCGGTGGCGAGTGATATAGAACACTTTCTGTATGTTTTAAATTGCGTGTTACCGCCATCTGCGACATAGCCTATAAATAATGCAGTTAATCATACAGAGTGTGTGTATGGGATGAAAACGTAACAAATATTACCGCCCACAACTTCATTACCACTCACCATACCTGTGAAACAATTAAATGAATATCCTTTCATCCCCACTCCCTCCCCTCTTTTCTTCATTACCGCCCCCCCCTTTCCCCTTCTCTCCCTTTTTCTATTTTCCCCTTCTCCCTGAGCCCCATTCTCTCTTTCATTTTATTCCCCCCTCTTCTCCCCTTTCCTGTTTTCACTTTCTCCCCTGGCCCCATTCTCGCTTTTATTTCATTCCCTCTCCTCTTTTCTGTTTTCATCTTATCTCTGGGCCCCTCCTCTCCCCTTTTATATTTTCCCCTTCATCTCCACCCCCACCCCTTTTTTCCTTCATCCCCCACCCTTTCCACTCTCCGCTTCCCCCTTTTCCATCCCCCTTCCTCTTCCCCCTTCTCCCTTTCTTATTTTTCCCTTCTCCCCCCCACACTCTCTTTTTTGTTTCATTCCCCCTCCTCTCCCCTTTGCCCTTTCATCTTCTCCCCCCACCCCCTCTTTTCCTTCACCCCCCCCAATTTCTTTACCCCCTTTCCATTCCTATTACTTTTTCTATTTCCCCTTTATCTCCACCCCGCACCCCTTTTTTCCTTCACCCCCCCAATTTCTTTACCCCCCCTTTCCATTCCTATTCCCTTTCCTATTTCCCCTTCATCTCCACCCCGCACTCCTTTTTTTTTCTTCACCCCCCAAATTTCTTTACCCCCCCTTTCCATTCCTATTCCCTTTCCAATTTTCCCATTCAGCTCCACCCCACACCCCTTTTTTTCCTTCCCCCCCTCCCATTTCTTTACCCACCCCTTTCCATTCCTATTCCCTTTCCTATTTTCCCCTTCATCTCCATCCCACACCCCTTTTTTTCTTCACCCCCCCAATGTCTTTACCCCCCCCCCTTTCCATTCCTGCTCCCTTTCCTATTTTCCCGTTAGAAATGTTCAGGCCTTTCTTTACATTAAATATACATTTTTGTTTTTTTTTATGTTTCTTTCCCCATAATGCACTTCTGTTTTCAATTCTCGACATTCTTAATATCCTATTGACCTCGTCCATTTCATAGCTACATTTTAGTTCAGGACAAAATAAAATTCATAATTTTAAACTACCTTTTCTGTAATAAATGGATGGGGGTACGTGTTCCTGGGGGGTTTGTTTTTCTTTTGGTATTTTTTTTATACAGTTTTTTTTATATATATTTTGTAATCCTTAAATACTTAAAAACAAGAACAGCATTTCCCTGCACAAATAATCTTAAAAAAAGTAGGGAATTTTGGAATTATGGTGATCATGGGTATACATATGTTATTTATATTACATGTCCCTTTTCTTTTTGTGTGCGATCCTTTACACGTGCAGGGCTGGTGCAACCATAAGGCAGCATAGGCAGCCGCCTCAGGGCGCCGGGATAGAGGGGACAGTAAAATCTGAATCCCCAGCCACTTGCTGGGGATTCGGATTTTTAACGGTGCTGCAGACTTGTTTTTTTAACACCCCCCTACCGCAATAGCGGCCCAGAGAATGTGTACTTTTATAAAGCCAATCTTCAATGTGGAACTGGTATAAGTGTATGAAGCCGCTGATCACTTCCACAACTGCTGTGATGTGACGACTCCCCACCATGTATACCCTGCTCTGTTGTCCCACCTGTGCGACACCTGGACCCGGTGTGATCATGGCAGGTGTCACTGGGAAGGGCGGCAAAATGCACCTTTGCCCTGTACATGTATGATATACATATATCTTTATTTACACATGTGTAGTGAGATTGTTTATCAATGGTCCCTGTATACTGTATGTAGATAACCTCTTTGGTTCTATGCTGTTCTTTTCTATTCCTTTATTTTCTATTCTATTGCATTTTTTGCTATTCTATTCCTTTAGTTTCTATTTTATTTTATTCTATTTTATTTTCTATTCTATTCCATTATGTTCTCTTTTACTGTATTCTATTCTATTCCATTCTAATCTGTTTTACTCTATATTTTTCTATTCTATTCTGTTTTATTCTATTTTATTCTTATTTAAAATTAAAATTTCAGAAGATGACTATATTTATTTCTATTTTAATCTCTTCTATTTATTTCTATTCTATTCTTTTCTACTCTATTCTTTTATTTTCTATTCTATTCTTTTTGGAAATTCGAATTTCAAAAGACGGCTATATTTTAACACTAATACATATTGACTTTGAAGGAAATCAGCAATATTCAGCAATATGTTTATATTTCTGATGAAATTTCATTTCGTTATTTCGGATTCATTTAAATTCGTTACTATTGTAATTTGGACACTCGGATTCATCTGAATCTCTGAATAAGGAAAATTTTGTCCAGATTTCGATTCGGAATGAAACGAACCGTCTAATTGGCAGCACAGACACGTATTGGGGACTATAGTGGGAGCTGAAAGGATGGGGGGAGAGGGGGAATTGGCAGAAAAATGTACGTGTACGCGGTTGTGTGGTGAAGTCCACTGTCAGGGAGCTGGTTGGATGAGATTGGCAGCACTGAGATGTAAAAAAGGAGGAATTAAGGTAACAAGTATTTTATGGGGAAAAAAAAACATGGCAATGGTTTGATGCACATTGTTTAGCAAACTAAAATGTCATCCAATTAGGTTTATAGCTCCTTACACACGATGAGAATATCGGATGAAGATAGGATTTTTTTTTTGCATGCTAGTCTCATATCGATAATGAAGAAGTTACTAAAGTTGCAAAAATTCTCGTAGGACAGAATAAAAACTCGTAAGTGATGTCATGTATTGTATTTGTATTGTATTTTCATACCAAAACTGTACTGAATAAACGTACATTGTACGATCTGGTATCGTATAGGAAAAGTTTTCATGCTTGTCCCTTTCAGACGAAACTGTGTACTAATGATCAGATTATCATACGATCGCTATTTTTTTGTACGATTTTCTGATCGTGGCTTTACTGTACATCTACTTTAAAGCCCAACACTGGGTACCATCATTATCATAGCTTAAGAAGGCTTAGCAGGTAGTTATCTTTGCTGCTCGGAAATTTGACAGCTTTCTTCAAACAACTTAAAAAGAGTTCTTCTAGTTTCCCAAGATATTACAGCTCCTGCTGTACTTCCACCCCCTGCAGAGATCAGCGC